TTACCCTCTCTCTGCTTGTATTCACTACGTTAGGCACACCTCCAGACTTCTCGGTGAAGACCGAAACAAAGAAGTCATTGAGCATCTCCGCCATTTCCAAGTTCCCTGTTACTGCTTCTCCCTCCTCACTAAGCAGTGGGCCTACCCTGTCCTTGGTCTTCCTCTTGCTTTTAATGTATTTATAAAAGGTCTTCTTGTTTCCCTTTATGCCTGTAGCTAGTTTGATCTCATTTTGTGCCTTTGCCTTTCTAATCTTGCCCCTGCATTCCCGTGTTGCTTGCCTATATTCATCCTTTGTTAGTTGTCCTAGTTTCCATTTTTTATATGACTCCTTTTTTATTTTGAGATCATGCAAGATCTCCTTGTTAAGCCAAGCTGGTCTTTTGCCATATTTTCTATCTTTCCTACACAGCGGAATTGTTTGCTTTTGGGCCCTTAACAACGTCCCTTTGAAATACTTCCAACTCTCCTCAGTTGTTTTTCCCTTCAGTCTTGCTTCCCATGGGACCTTACCTACAAGTTCTCTGAGCTTATCAAAATCTGCCTTCCTGAAATCCATAACCTCAATTGTGCTGGTCTCCCTTCTACCTTTCCTTAAGATCATGAACTCTATTATTTCATGATCACTGTCCCCTATACTGTCTTCCACTTTCAAGTTCTCAACTAGTTCCTCCCTATTTGTTAAAACCAAATCCAGAACAGCTTCTCCTCTGGTAGCTTTTTCAACCTTCTGAAACAGAAAGTTGTCTCCAATGCAGTCCAGAAACTTATTGGATAGCCTGTGCCTCGCTGTGTTAGTTTCCCAACATATGTCTGGATAGTTGAAGTCCCCCATCACCACCAAATCTTGGGCTTTGGATAGTTTTGTTAATTGTTTAAAAAAGGCCTCATCCACCTCTTCCACCTGGCTAGGTGGCCTGTAGTAGACTCCTAGCATGATATCACCCTCGTTTTTTACCCCTTTTAGCTTAACCCAGAGACTCTCTACACAGCTATCTCCTACGTTCATCTCCACTTCAGTCCAAGTGTGTACATTTTTAATATACAAGGCAACCCCTCCTCCCTTTTTTCCCTGTCTGTCCTTCCTGACAGAATGTGCTCAGCATGTTTGTCTTAGACCTGCCCACTCTTCCCTGTTGAAGAAACAAAAACATGAACAGGGAAGAACTGTTCATTCTTCTTTTAAAAGACTAGGGGGGCAGTGTCCCCTGCTCTCTCTGCTTCCAAACTCAGCCATTTGATCTTGCCTCCCTGTTGTGCCCTGACCCTCCTTTCTCCTTACTATTATAGGCCATAGTCCCCCCCATTTCCAACCCATCTCACTCTTCTGGATTTGTCTACGCTGTCACTTTTTGTTAAAATGTTTGTTGCTCAGGGTGTGAAAAAACACTATTCTGAAGAACAAAAGTGGTAGTGGACAAAAAGTGCTGGTGTGGACAGCCATCGTGGGCAGGTAGACTCCTGTCTGAAGCTACCTCCATTCATTAAAGTGATTTTATTTTGTCTCCAGGAGAGCTCTTTCCTCATGATAAAGAGTAGCTACACAGTGCACCTTACAATGCTGCACTTTTGTAAGGTGCACAGTATAGGCATAACCTTACGTTGTAACTCCAGTTGTTATCCCTAGCTCTCCCCTCTTCCTCCTCCCCCTCCGCCCCCCATGCAATTTGTAGCTCAAATTAAGTAGTGCTTTAAGATCACTAGCTGTTCTGCGTGTGCGGTGTGGATGAGTTGGGGATGGGAGACAGGTTGCTTAAAGCTCAGGTAGTCAAATGCTGATGTAGCAGATCAAAATACCGGTTCATCAGCAGCTCATGAAATCACTTTGTAACCCCATTGTTGTCTTTTGAGTTGTGGTTGCTTACTGCAGTTTTGACTGCAACAGTTGAGTTACAAATTCTCCAAGGCCATATGAAATGCCCAGTTTCTTTCTAGTACCACGGTAACCAACCAGTTCTGAAACAGTAGCCATTATAGTGTCTACTGCTATAGTGAACTAGCCTCATTATTCTGAAAATGTAAATAATATAGTGTCTACTGCTATAGCCAACTAGCCACACTCAACCAGCCAAATAGCCACATGTGGCTAGTGGTTAATATGTTGGACACCATGGATCTAGTTGAACAGATGTATCATCAGGTGAGATTGAAAGACATGGTAGCTAGAACAAATTACAGGACTAACAAGATAGTTTATTAGATGAGCTTCCGTGGGCCTGACCACCTTCCTCAGATCAAATGGTGGAAGAAAATAGTCACAACCATATATACCAAAGGATACAGTTAAAAAAATAAACACACATGAAAAGGACAAATCACATTTCAGAACAGAAGGGGGATGCGGGGCGGGGGGAGGTAAATGTCTGTGAGCTAATGGTATTAGAGGTGATAATTGGGGAAGTTATCTTTGTAATGGGTAAGATAGTTAGCGTCTTTATTGAGACTGACGCGTAGAGTGTCGAATTTTAGCATGAATGACAGTTCAGAAGATTCCCTTTCAAGTGCAGATTTAAAAGGCTTCTGAAGCAGGATGCAGGTAATTAAGTCGTTGAGACAGTGTCCTTTCTGGTTGAAATGGCAAGAAACTGTTTTTTCTTTGTGATCCTGTCTAATATCTGTTTTGTGCATCAAATGCCCACACCAGACTAACACGGCTACATTTCTATCACCATGGTAGCTAGAATCAGCATTGAATGCAGTGTCTTTACACAGAATTGGGGGTGAGGGATATAGGATGGTAGCCAGATTTTCTTCTTTATCAGATTATTTTGCAACAAAACTTTCTCATATTTATGGCTGACTTTTTTAAGGTTTAAATATAATACACTGGGTTAATAAATATTTCTTAATCTTCTATTTTTAAATGAAATGCTTATAGTAATCATGTGTAGCTAATTTTAGTCAGGAAAATGTTGGCTGTTTCTTCCCAGTAAAAATTAGAGGCTCCAAATCTAGGTGTTTTAGATAAGATACTTGATAAGTTTCCTTAACTGGCTACATCTTTATCTTTAATGTTTGGAGCCATCTAAATGTGCCCTTCCATGGTGGCAATACTCTTACCTAATGCTTCAGAAACCCAATCTCATCCTAAAAATCATTCGGCTGTCAGCAGATCTGTGCTCATTTTGTCTTTGTTGGGGGGGGCTTGTTTCTCAGTGAGCAGGATAGATTGAGACTTAAATCAGCAACACAGTGTCACTGTCTGGGGCTGGGTAGAGAAATGATTTTGGAAAACTAGTAAACAAAAATACTAGAAACAAAATGTTAAAAGTGCTTGTTATTGTTCATGTCATTTACTACTATTTGTATTCATTGTCTGTTTAGATTGTAGTCTCTCAACGGCAGGACCACTTCATACACTCTGGTTATACAGCGCTTAGCATAGAGGGACCCTCATCCTGATAAAACCCTTTATATGCTATTACAATACAAATAACTTTTCTGGTGAAAGGAGACACACATTGAAGTGACTTAAACAAGAACATTCAGCTTCAGTGGAAAATCAGATATCTGATCTTGAGTTACTGACATCGTATTCTGTGCATTGACAATTAGACAATTCTCACCTTTAATCAAATTCCTATGAATTTGTCTTGCACAGACTTTTGCATTATAGCAATGTTTAGTGTACAAATAGAATCTAGAATAGTGTCAGGAAGTTTCTGCAAAATTTCTATATATACATTTTTGTTTTTGACAGATAACAGAATGACATTATCATGCCAGCATCAACAGGCTGAGGAGGGGGGTGTAGGTGAGAGAGAGAGATTTCCCCAGTGATGCGGCAATGCTGGGGGAGGAGGTGTTGGTGAGGCAGGGACCTGGCTAGTTCGGGTCAGCTGGTTACAGTGAGCACTGGCTGGGGTGTGCGGTGCCCCGATGCTAAGTGCTGCAGATAGGAGGCCACAGCCCATGCTGTCGGTGAGCACAGAGAGGAAAAGCCCTGCGTGCAGGCCAGTGGCCATACCACAGAGGGCTCTTTGTGCGCCACCTGCCTCACTTGCAGGCGAAGCTGGAGCAGAGGAACCTCCATGGGCAGCATAGTCTGCAGCAGCTCCCTGCTTGCCCTGCTGGCCACTTCCTTGCTCCTGCCCCTCCACCCAGCCACCTCACTCACCAGCTCCAGTTCAGCCCTCTTTCTACACCTGTAGTAGGAAGCATGTGCTGATGCTTCAGCCTTCCCCCCTTCCCACACACACACACACATGAGGTTGAAGCGTCAGTTTCCTGCAGGGGGGAGAGAAGAGAAAGCCCTATGGCTCTCTGCCGCTTCCCTTTCCCCTTCCCGCTTGAGGGAAGAGCAGCACAGGGACATGCTTCAAGAAGGCTTTTCCTGCTGCTCAACAAGGCAGTGAGTGAACAGGCTGGGATGGCAGTGAGTGAGGGGGATAGAGGTGCGGGGTCTCACCTGGGGAGGATGAGGCTGGAGTGCTAGCATGGCCTCCCAGCGCACTCCCAGCCCCCTTGCTCATAGCCCCTCAAGCCGAGACCTCAGCTCCTTTGCTCACCACCTTGCCGAGATCCTGCATCCCCAGCAGGGATGTAATAGTGTAGTTGATTAAGCGATAAGCAAAAGCTTAGAGGCTAATGCTATAAACTACATGCATTCTCCCCTTCCTTCCTCCCCTGGCCAGTAAACTTTTTAGCAGGCTAGCCAGCAACCCGCTCAGTCCTGGCTTGCTCTGGATCCAGGACCTTTCCCTGCTGCAGCTCTACGTTTAAAGTAGAGGGGATTGGCGAGCATAGTTCTCATTTTCTTTGGCCGTGAAAGCCGCCAGAGAGGGGGTTGGCAAGTGTAGTGATCAAGGGGACGCAGCCCATTAGTATCTTATAATACCTAGTTTTGGGACTGTCTAGCAGTAGGAAGTTCTCTTAGACAAACTAGTTATGAAGAAGAGTTAACTTATGAACAGTGTTTGGTTTGAAATGGAAATAATAGAGTCCAGACAATAGAAATTAATCTCCCCCCTCTTTCTTTTTTTCTTTTTTTCAATTGGCAGATTTTCTTTGCCTGCACTGTAACCGTGAGAGAGGAACAGCATCAAGAGGATGAGTGAACTGGAACAGTTGCGGCAAGAAGCAGAACAACTGCGGAATCAAATCAGAGTAAGAGTTACTATATCCCAGCTCTTAACTATCTTGGAGGAAAAACCTGGTGGGCAAAACAGAAAAAATGAAGTGCATGTGGCGCTGATATTTAAATCATGAAACACTTCCATTTTTGTTTTTTTTAACAGAGGATTAAGTCAATAAAAGGTTCAAGAAGCTTGTAATTCCATCTGTAATTTTTTTACAGGTTATGTCTAGCATTGTAATGTAGTATAATCACCCAATTTTTTGGAGTCCTATGGTAAAAAATTATATAGCTTCCAATACCCAGAAACAAAAAGAACAAATTAAGGACATTGATAATGAAAATTGAACATTTTCGAATCTCTACTGGCCTTTTCAGTAGTATTGTTTTTGATTGATAGGTAAAATGCCTGAGCACACTGACTGAGAGGAGATATCTAGGGTCAGGAATTATGCCTATGATTCTTTTTCTTCTCTTGCCATGGAAATTATTTTTCAAAAGTGCATCTTAGCTTTTTTCTGATCTATTTAATGCTAATTATTCACCACTAAAACTGTTTAAGTGCTTGCTCATATCCATTCCAGTTAGGTGTTCATGCGCTGCGTGCAAGCATTCCTGAGTTTTTCCCTTAGCATTATCTGTTGGGCCAGCCAGGGAGCCCCCTGGAGTGGCACCAGCATATTGGTGCATATATACTCCTGCATGCCCTCTGCACCCTCAGTTCCTTCTTACTGCTGCCCCCTGTCAGTAGCTGGAGCATTTGGCTAGGCAGTTAGAGTATCCCTTATGTTATGGTGTAAATACAGTGCTAAGTAGTTATAGATTACGTAAGTAGTGCAAATAGTTTTAAGTTGACTATCCCTAGTTCGTGGAACGAGGTGTACAGCTAGTTCAGATTAGGAAGCCTAATCCGAACTAGCTAGTCCGTGCCGCGTGTAGCCGCGCGGCACGGAGTCCGACCTAGCTGGCATTTAAAAATGGCGCTGTCCAGCTTTATGCAAATGAAGCCCGGGAAATTCAAATCCCGGGCTTCATTTGCAACTCCGTATGACTACATTACCCCCCCTAGTTCGAACTAGGGGGGTAGTGTAGACATACCCTCAGATTGTTGGGTACTTGGCCTGGTGTAAAATGTGTGCTATCCCTTTCCTTTCCTGCCCACTCTCCCATCCCCCTTCTCTGTCCCTTTTCAGGAATCCTATTCACAAGCTAATATTAAAGCGGGAGATATCCGTGCTTCTGCTCCTGGGAATGGTCAAACCTGTCTCAGAGGAGTTCAAGGGGAAAGTGAAATTCCTAGGTTCACAGTAGGCCAAGACCACTTTCAGTTTGCAGTTCTCCTGTTTGGCCTCTCCACAGCACCAAGGGTTTTCACCAAATACATGGTTGCTTTAGCAGCCTTCTTGAGAAGGCACAAGACTCAGGTGTTCCCTTACCTTGACAACTGGCTAATCAGGGGGTCATCCAGGGATGAGGTCCTTGGCCACATGCTTTGTCAAGGCACTGTTTCACAGATTGGGTCTCCTTATAAATGCGGAGAAGTCCACTCTCAATCCAACCCACATAATAGACTTTGTTGGGGCTCACCAAGATTCCATACTGGTGAGGGCGTCCCTCCCCAGGGCCCGGTTTTTAGCCATCAAGGTGATAATTGAGGGCCTCACCTCTTAGGGGCATGCACTTTCATGAGACTGCTGGGCCACATGACAGCCTGCAACTTTGTGGTCCAACATGCTAGACTGCAGCTTCGACCCCTGCAGGCATGGTTGGCAACAGTATACGAGTGGTCCATCAACAGGGCTCAACAAATCCGTTTATCTACTCACCCGTGGCGAGTAGATTTCAGCCGGTCATTGGTGGTGCGCACATGCGCAGTGCAGGTCTGGCGCATGCACGGTGTGGGGCTGGCAAGTGGATTTTGCCGCAGTTTGTCGAGCCCTATCCATCAAGATGGACATCGTGTTCCAGAGGTGGGGTTATCCCTCTCTCGACCTGTTCGCTTCCCAGGAAAACTTCAAGTGTCCAAGCTACTGTTTGTATCTGGAGCAGGGGAATGGGTCAGTAGGGGACACACGTCTGGTGCAGTGCACCTTCCACCTTCTCTTCACATTCTCTCTCTCTCTCTTCCCCTTACTGCACAAGGCCCTCCTGATGATCAGGATGTGCGCAGCATCGGTCATATTGATAGCCAACACTGGTATCCTATGCTCCTGGACCTAGCAGTGGAGGATCCCCTTGTGCTTCCATTGGTTCCAGACTTAATCACTCAAGACCTGGGGGAAGGGCAGCTATGCACCTGAGCCCATCATCCCTCCACCTGGTGGCCTGGGGCCTTCGTGGTTAACCAGACCAGAACGCCTCTGCTCTGAGGCAGTCAGGAGGGTCCTTGTGGAGAACAGAAAACCCTTTTACGAAGTTGACATATGAAGCTAAATGGAAGCGCGTTTCGCTTTAGTCTGATGGGACAGGAGGGGATCTAATGGAGGCTCCTATCCCCCTCATCCTGGACTACCTCCTTCACCTTTGGCAGCAAGGCCTATCAACTTCATCCTTACGGGTCCACCTACCTGCCATTGCGGAGTTCCATCTGGGTGAAGAGGACAGAGTGGTATTTGCGAACACGCTGATTAAGGAATTCCTCAAGGTCATAGATAGGCTATAGCCATGTGCGCACCAACCCTTACCCTTGCGGGCCTTTAATTTGGCCCTTATGAAACTCACAAGCCCTCTGTTCAAACCCTTAGCTTACTTGCTCCCTGAAACATCTCTTGTGGAAGGTAGTTTTCCTGATAGCCATTACATCATCCAGGAGAATGTCAGAGCTGAGGACCCTCCCGTCAGAGCCCCCCATGCTGTTTCTTTAAGGACAGGGTTAGGCTTTGTCCCCGCTCGTCATTCCTGCCCAAGGTCATGTCACATTTCCACATGTCCTAGGACATCTACTTCCCTGTTTTCTTCCCTAAACCCCATGCAACATCTAGAGAGCAGTCCCTGCATTCTCTAGACTTGAGGAGGTTGTTAGCTTTCTATAGCAGAAAGAATGAGGGATCTCCCGGTGTAGGCCCAGTGCTTGACTTTATGGATCACCTCCTGCATCAGGGCCTGTTACGAACTTGTGGGACAGACAGCTCCCCCACTTGTGGCCCACACCAAGAGGGTGCAGGCCTTGCGGACTGCATTTGTTGCACAAGTGTCAATCCTCGAGATCAGTAGGGCGACCATTCGGTCCTTCATTCACACGTTTATTACACCATTGAACAGCAGGCCAGGGATGATGCAGCCTGTGGTAGGGCTGTGTTGCAATCCATTGCAAAGTATGGTTCTGACCCTACCCCCTATGGTACTGCAAAGGAGTCACCTAACTGGAATGGACATGAGCAAGTACCCAAAGAAGAAAAAATGGTTGCTCCCTAGCTGGCCCAATGGATACTGCTAAGGGAAAAAGTTCTGGAATCCATGCATGCAGCTCATGTATGCCTAACTGGAATGGTCATGAGCAACATATCTTCAAGAACAACAGTTACAAGGGAAGTAACCGTTTTACATATTACACAGCATCTTGTTATCTATCAAGAAGCCATTGTAACATACATCTAAAATTCAGTGACTTGTTTCCAGTGAAAAATATGTAGGATGTATCAGTCTTCCCTGTGTTTCTAAGCATGCAGTATCTACAGACTACATCTATGTAGGAATGCTTTATTTGCAGATACACAGTAAAATTGACGAGAACTAAAACTTCCTTTAGATGCTGATTCCACATATAATGATTTTCAGCCTGGCATGTCCTGTGATAGTCTGCTGCCTGCTCAGTGTTTTGGACATTGAACTACTGTGGAAAATATTGACCATGTACTGTGCATTTGCTATGCATTAGTTGTCTTTGGGGTGGGGCGGAAGCAGGGGGGAGGGGAGAGAGAAGACTTGTGGTAACACAGTTATGGCTTTTCTGAAACTAGTTGGTCAGTGTTAACTGGGAGGCTGGGGTCTGTTTCACATGTCCTTTAACTTTCAGTTTGTATTCAAAAGTAAGATTAAAGCCAGTTAATATTTTGCAGTAGTACTCTCGCGTACTATGTGCTGCACACATTCTGATGTAAATAGGTTTTCGTTTCTTCCCTAAATGACATGTCTTGGAATTGTCTGCTACATTGCAATTTGACTTGATGTAATTAGTCTTGTCTTACAAAAAATGGCATTGGGATGGTGCAGAATAGCTGCTGACCAGTTACGTGGTCAGTGAAACGAGTAGACCTCTCAAGAACGTCATTTGGAGCCAGAAAGCCAGCAGCATTTTTTTTTATATGGAGACTACTGAATTGGATAAAATTGATTTAGTAGCACACAATCAAATGACCTCTTTTGAGCCCTACATCTGTAATTGGAGCCTTGCAGACATACCTTTGCAACCATGACCAGCACCTCTGAAGTCAGAAGGGCTCTATATTGGCATTGGTGTTGGCTTTCATGGATCAAATTACAGTATTGGGAGCCTTTATAAAATAAATCACAATATATTGCTATCTGCTGTTGCTTGTCCTTCAATTTTGATGATGAATATAACATCACTGATTGGTTTGGTTTCTATGAACACAAATGGCTGATGGGCTGGTTTAAGCATTGAACTGTCTGTGGCACTTTAAACAAGATGCCATTATGGGTTACTTAATGAACAGCAGACATGCTGCTGTTGCAAGATTTATGCTGCTGGCGCTTCTGCTTTGCCGCAGTTCTCTTCTGCTCATGGATTGTAGTTCTAGTATGGATGAGACTTCATCAAGTAGAACGATCCTGAGTGATTTTCCCAAAACTCTGGGTCAGTGTAGAAATGCCTGAAGGATGACTTGGATACCTTGAAATGTTTCTGCTGGCCAAGCTAGTAGCTTACAACAGAATCAGTTTAGGTCACATTGTGCAATCTGGTCAGTTTTTAAGAAAATGATTAGACAGACTAGTATTTCAGTTAGGTGAGAGGGTCAGTCTTGCTTGCTTGTTACGTCAGTGCAGATTTTTCTTTACAATATCTTGCTCT